CATTAAAATTCTCATTCTCATTCTTCTACTCATTTTCAACTATACATTATTCAATAAAATAATATTTTACATTATATCAATAACTTTTCCTTCTTTTTCAACTACACATTCTCCATCAATCTACTATTCCAAAACATATTCTTCCAAAATAATGTGGTTCAAAAAAGATTTTTATTGTATTAAATCTGAAAATTAAAAATTAAAACAAGATTCCAAAACATCGCATGTTTGATAAATATTAAAGATTTTTAAAAATCAACAATTAATTTTAACCACATATTTCATGAGATTCATAACTTTCCAACTACATATTTTATTAACTTTTATCAAAAGCTGATTTAAATGTGGACCAAACAAGGGCTTAAATGACTAACAGGTTGAGACATGGATACACAAATCAAAGGTTTCAGACAAGACTACCACAAAGGCTACACTTACGAAAAGTCAAAGTTTGAGGGGGTTTGGTAATGATTAAAATTAAATTTTTAGTAGATTGTGATATATGTTTTTGAAATGTGTAGTTGAAAAGTTATGAGACTCATGAAAGATATTGTTAATATTCATTGTTTGACTTTAACTTAGATTAAAATCAGATTTTAATTCAAACCAAACAGTGGCTTTATTTTGCGATGAAAATAAAGTTAAATTTAATCCAATCCAATGGTTGGTGCTAATATTACTCAAATTAAATTGCGAGACAACTTAAAAGAGTTTTTCATATATCATACAAGTTGGTTTTTGGGAGAATGACTCGATGATCCATAATCTTGATCACATTCGTAGTCATAGATCAATCATCAGTAAAAACGAACAGCAAAAGCCCTTTCCTTCGGTTAAATCATCATGAGTACAACCCAATAGACGTCGATGAAGGCAGATAACGTTAAACAGTGAACACTAAAATCCATTACATGAAAACAGAAACACCTTGAGATGGATCATGATCATCTAGTCAAGTTTTAGACACAAGCCAAATCCCTCTCAAACATAAATCGAAAGCTGTTTTCCTTACATAAATTAGTATCATAAATACTTCTTGTGCATCGTACATCAATCAAATTTCATAACAACATTGTCCAAAAGGGAACATGATAATTAAAACCTAAATTTGAAGGCACGTCGAATGGGCCACCATCTCAGAAAAGCTAGCCCACATCATCTTCATAGATATCACATCATGAAGCAAACCAAGGATAATGAAACTGGTTACTGCAACAGAATTGCTACATCCAAGTAATCACCTATCTGCATATGGAAAGACACAAGTCAAATCCAATTCGTGAAACAATACAGCGAAAGTTGCACGCCTCAGCCCAAACTTATTGCCTCAGTAGCAAGTCAACCAAACTTTCAAAGAGAGCAAGACAGCCCCCAAGCCATCATTATAGTTGCACAATCAATCTCCAAAGACGGAAACAATCCAAATCTCTATTAATTGTCAAGTGGCACATACCAAATTTATGAGGATGGGGGGCATTATGCTTCCCAACATGGGCTGGAACCAGAAATTTGAAGTGAAGCTTGTTTCCATGAGTGGCATATTAATTTAACGTTTAATTGGGAAATTCTCTCCCTTAAAGATAGATTATGCAACTTTAATGAAAGTTTTTTAGAAGCACAGCCTAAAATTCCCGAAAAGTCGTGGAATAACTTGCTCATTTTCAACTTGATCATTTATAAAGGTTGGGAAAAGACTTGATACTGGGGGAATAGGTTGGGGGGGGGCCAATATTGCAATATTTTCACTATGATTATTTTGCCTGACTGCAGAGGAAATCAGGATTTACCTGAAAGCTAAGCTCACTTAAGGCTTTGCTTCCACTGTCAGGTCGCCTCCCATTGGGGTAAGAAAAGGTTCTTCCCACCTTCAAATTACAAAGGAGAATCACCATGGTCAGAACATTAAAGATCATGTTATATTCTTGGTTCATAAGAAGATACAATCATCACATAGAATGCTCGTATGCTCCCCTTTCCAAAGCAGACACGTGATGACATGAGAGAGAGAGAGAGAGAGAGAGAGAGGGAGGGAGGGAGGACCTCTCTAACCACAAAACGACCACGTTTATCAGGATATACAAAAGCAAAGGACAGCATAGCATCTCTTCTTCTCGCCTCAGGAGCAACCTCTTTAACCTGGAAAACAAACATCCTGATTTACATGATCACTATAAAGATAAAGGACAATAATATGCTTTCATTTGTGGAGAAACAAAGCATTTTGTCACAGAATTAAGAAGTACAATGCAAAAACCACTTTGAATGCAAATAAGCTTCAATATGAAGCTCTTGACCCTGACTAATTCAATTCTAATTGCTAAAACTGGTGGGGGCAAAGAAAAACCAATTCAAACTGGATATATAAAAACAACTTAAACGTATGACTTAAGGCCTGACAGATCCAACTACTTGCTTGTCAGGTTCAGATATTAGTTCATTGTCAATGTAGAAAGTAGAAACGTAGGAGGAAACTAGTTAGTTGGTATTGACTAGGAGTAGATAGCTGTTAAGAGGATCATGAATTGTTGCTCGAAAGCAACAAATAAGGCAGAATGATAGCAATTACTACTAATATACTTCTCCAATAATTCCAGGCCCCCGTCGGCGGAGAAGGAAACAACCACTAGCTGCTCTACAACTTAGACATGGTAAGGATTTGATATAAACTTCAATGAGATTTTCACAGGCGTAAATGCTGAATTTATAGACCAGAAGATAAATAAAGAAAAGAAAAGAAAAAGGAGTAATTGCAGACGCGCTTTGTCAACAAGAAGCCAATTTCTCTTTAGATGAATATGGACACACACATGCACATCAGAGCAGAAAGTAGAGACTGAAAGTGCAGAAAATATATTGTGCAACTTCCCATTATACCAGATCAGTTAATTCACGCAGAGTCGCATCCATCCATGTATAAATTTGAACCTCATCTTTGGGTTCCTTGCCCCTCACCGCAAACTCCCCATCAGTATGATGGCCTCCAACCTGCTAAAACTTAAAGAAATGGATAATAAATTGACCAGATCTGTTTTAACGGAAAAAAGAAATGCCATGATGAGTCACATACCTTAGTGAAAACGCGAAGTAACAATGGACAAGTCTGGGAAAGAATTAGATGAGTGAGAAAGATGTTATAAGAAACAATTAAGTTATGCAATGAAAGAAAACCAACCTTGACCCATGAAAGTGGAAGAAATTAAATTCTACAGTAATTTTGCACATGTCATGCCTAACAACAAACTAAATAAAATAAAATTCACAGACAGTATACGTAACAAATATTATTGGTTATACAAAGAAAAGAACTCTTCGAAAATGTTCAATGTTGGTTCTCAAAGTGGAAGAAATAAAATTTCAAAAGTAATTTTGCACAAGTCATGCCAAACAATCAACTAAATTCAATAATTTCCACAAGTAAATAACAAAAATCATAGGATTAGATGCAAAAACCAAATGTGAAATGTCAAACACCGAACCATGAGGTATTTGATAATTTCATTTTTTTTTTTTAATATGTATCTAGTGAAAATATACTCAAAGCGTACCCTTCTGACCAAATAATCTACATATTCCAAAATTATACACCCGCGTGAAAATATTTTATCATTCTTAGTGATTTGAAAGAATCCCATTCCAACACAAACATGGTCAGAACCAAATGATGACACCCACTTTCATCATTATTTCAAGAACCATGAGCAACAGTTCAGTGAACCTGGCTGGCTTTTGTTCTTCTTTTTATTCGAAAAATGAGTTCCTTCCAGAAACTCATGTACTAAATTCCTGAAATTATTGCAAGTTCCTTAGCATGCCCTACGAGTTCCAAACGGAAAAAGCCGTGAAAATTCCCCAAATGTCAGCATACGGTATTCGCATTCACTGAACCCTAAACCCGTTTTCTCAAATTTCCCAAATATTGTTCTAAAGACATCCATTTGGGAGAAATTAATCGTGACGAATATTTGAAAAAAAAAAAGAAAAAGAAAATATGCATACACGTGTACATGGTCATTCATTAAGGTATGCTAAACCCTAAACCCCATATTCTCAAATTCCCGAAAATTCGTGAATAAACATCCATTTACCAGTAATAAATAGTCAAAAATATTGGGGGGGGTACCAATCCAATGCTTTACATAGACGCTTACATATATGTAGAGAGAGAGAGAGAGAGACAAACCTTCTCCCGATCGACGGGTTCGGAGCGAGGCCCGGGCTTGGTGGCAGGAGGCGGTGGTGGACCCCTCGCCGATGGAGGCAGCGGCCTTCCTCCTGGTCTTCTCTGCACTTCTGCCATTGCTGTGATTGCAAGTAATTTGGGCAAGAATTCTATATTTTTCTCTGTTTTTGGCCAAGACGAGGGTAAAGTCGGCAATATATCGAGGGTTGGGAATTTGCAGTTTTATTTTGCAAGCTCAAGCAGTACACTTTGGGGAAAGGACAAAGGGTAATTGACGAGCAAAACCCCTTACCTTTGCCTTTATTATGAAATATTCTCTATCTTTTCATTTTGATGGAATACTCCCCAGATAATTTTTTCCATGCAAAAGAACTCTTTTCGTCCAATCCCATTAGTTTAGAATTTAAAAATAGTAAAGATGGCCTATAAGGATAATTGACATAATAACCCCTAACATTACTTGTATTGTGCAATATCCCTACCCTTTCACTTTGATGCAAAATTTCCTAATCTTTCACTTTGATGCAAAATTTCCTAATCTTTCATTTTGGTGCAAAATCTTCCCAAATCATCCAAACTTTGTGGAATACAACCTTTTTGTCATTTTTCTCCATAAAATCTTTGTAAAATAAGAAATATACCCTCCTCTATATATAAAAAAAAAATTGTAGCCAAAACCCCAAATATTTCAAAATATGCAAATGAATCTAATTAAAAAAATAAAAAGAAAAAAAAGTTCATCTTTCTCAATATCCCCGTACCCTCACCCTTACCCCTACCATATCCCCACCCTACCACTCCACTCCCTCCTTTCTCCCCACCTCTGTAACAAATCAAATTGGTCTAAAAGCCTCCCAATCAATTTCAAATTCGTCATTGTCTTTCTTGATGACAATGTCAGGTCCACACCATGTTGGAGAAAATAATATTATTTACCGTCATAAGATCGTTCATGTTGGATCATCAAAAACTTATTAACCAAAAGCGGAAGCG